CCTGTATCCCGTTCCCGTCTCCCCTCTGCTCCGTGATCCACAATGTCTCCTCTCCCACTGTTTCACCTGTCCATCCCTTCTCTTCTCTCGTAGCCAGGAGCTGGGCAGCAAAGTTCCTCTGAAGTACATGACCCCTGTGATTCTAATGGTGTTTGTGCTCGCCCTCTACCTCCACGCCCAACAGGTCGAATCCACGGCTCGACTGGACTTCCTGTGGAAGCTGCAGGTCATGGAAAACTATCCACCGCCTCCCGCAAAATTGGAGAGGGGTGTGTGTGTCGGGGGGGTGTGTGTGGGGGTTGTGGGGGAGTGGGGGACACGGTGTGCAGAGAGAGGTAACGAGATAGACTTTGCAGACCAGGCCAAGGATAATCCGAAGAGATTGTGTTCAGTTCTGGTCGCTCTATTACAGGAAGGACGTGGAGGGCTTTGGAGAGGGTGCGGGAGAGGTTCACCAGGACGCTGCCCGGATTAGAGGGTACGAGCCGTAAGGAGAGGCTGGACAAACTCAGGGTGTTTTCTCTGGAGGCTGAGGGGAGACTCGATAGAAGTCTGTAAAGTTATGAGATAGGGCTGACAGTCAGAATCTTTCTCCCCTCAGAGTTGAAATGTCTAAGTCTCGGGGGCATGTGTTTAAGGTGAGAGGGGGAAAGTTTAAAGGAGATGTGAGGGGCAGGTTTTTTACACAGAGAGGGGTAGGAGGGTAGAACACACTGTCAGGGGTGGGGGATGGAGGCAGATACGATGGGGGCGTTTGAGGGGCTTTTAAATACACACATGGATATGTGAGGAATGGAGGGATAGGAACCAAGGACAGGCAGAAGGGATTAGTTTAATTCGGTGTCACGTTCGGCACAGCGTGATGGGCCGAAGGGCCCGTTCCTGTGCCATACTGTTCCATGTTGTATTCTACAAGTATATTGAGAGCAATAGAGGGAATAGGGGCCCTTAAAGTTGAACAAGGTCACCTGTATATGTTGAACCTCATGAGATGGGGGAGTTACTAGATAAATATTTCTCATCAGTTTTTTTACTGTGGAGAAAGACATTGAGGACAGAGAACTCAGAGAAATAAAGATGGATGTTTTCAAAATAGTTCACATCACAGAAGAGGAAGGGCTGGAGGTCTTGAAAAAACATAAAAGTGGATAAATCTCTGGGACCCAATCAAGTGTATCTCAGAACGCTGTGGAAAGTTAGGGACAAAATTGCACGGCCCCCTAGCAGAGATATTTATATAATCTACAGCCACGTGAGGTTCTGGAGGACTGGAGAGTGCCTGATGCTGTGCCTTTATTTAAGAAAGGCTGTAAGGAGAAGCCTGGGAATTATAGACCACTGAGTCTGACATCAGTGGTGGGTATGCTGTTGGAGGGGATTCTGAGAGATAGGATTTACATGAATTTGCAGAGGCAAGGTCTGATTAAGGAGAGTCAGCATGACTTTGTGCATGGGACATCATGCCTCACAAACCTGATTGAGTTTTTCTAGGACATAACTAAAAAGATTGATGAGAGTAGAATGGTAGATGTTGTCTACATGGACTATAGTAAAGCTTTTGACAAGGTTCCACATGGTAGACTAATTAGTAAAGTTAGATCACATGGCATTCAGGGAGAGCTGACTAATTGGATACAAAATTGGCTTGACGTTGGGAGACAGAGCATGGTTCTGGAGGGTTGTTTTCTGGACTGGAGGCCTATGATCAGTGGTGTTCCACAGGGACGGGTGCTGGGTCCACTGTTGTTTGTCATTTATATAAATGATTTGGATTAGAATATAGGAGTCATGGTTAGTAAGTTTGCAGATGACACCAAAATTGGTGGCATTGTGGACAGCGAAGGTTATCTTAAGATGACAAAGAGATCTTGATCAATTGGACCAATAGGTTGAGGAGTGGCAGATGGAGTTTAATTTGGATAAATGCGAGGTATTGCATTTGGTAAAACAAACAGGGGCAGGACTTATACAATTAAAAGTAGTGCCTTGGGTAGTGTTGTAGAATAGAGAGACCTAGGGGTTCAGGTACATAATTATTTGAAGTTTGTGTCACAGGTAGACAGGGTAGACACAGGCTTTATTGCTCAGACCTTTGAGTGTAGGAGCTGGGGACGTCATGTTGATGTTATACAGGGACGTTGGTGAGGCCTCTTCTGGAGCAACTGTGTCCAGTTCTGGTCACCCCGTTATAGGAAGGATATTATTAAACTGGAGAGGGTTCGGGAGAGATTTGCCAGGAATGGAGGGTTTGAGTCATAGGGAGAGGCTGGGACTGTTTCCCCTGGAGCGTCGGAGGCTGAGGGGTGACCTTATAGAGGTTTACAAAATCTTAGGGACATGGATAGGGTGAATGGTAGTTGTCTTTTCTCTGGGGTGGGGGATTTCAAAGCTAGGGGACACATTTTTAAAGGTGAGGGTGAAAGATTTAAAAAGGACATGAGGGGCAACCTTTTCACACAGAGGGTGGTTCGTGTGTGGAATGAACTTCCTGAGGAAATGGTGGGTGTGGGTACAGTTACAACATTTAAAAGGACATTTGGATAAGTACATGGACAGGAAAGGTTTGGAGGGAGATGGGCGAGGAGCAGGCGGGTGAATGTGTAGGGAGGGGTGTGTAGTGGGATGTAGGGAGTGGGGTGTGTAGTGGGATGTAGGGAGGGGGGTGTTTTATTGTTTGCTGAGGGTCACTGAGGTTCCTGTTCCCTCACTGCAGGCCACCGAGGAGAAGGAGGAGATGGAGGAGTTACAGGCCTATAATCGGCGTCTCCTCCATAACATCCTGCCCAAGGATGTAGCTGCTCATTTCCTCGCTCGTGAACGCCGTAATGATGAGCTCTATTACCAATCGTGTGAGTGTGTCGCTGTCATGTTTGCATCCATCAGTAACTTCTCCGAGTTCTACGTGGAGCTGGAGGCTAACAACGAGGGAGTGGAGTGTCTCCGTCTCCTCAATGAAATCATCGCCGATTTTGACGAAGTGAGACCAGCTTTCATTTCAGTTTCACCCGTGTGTGTGTCTGTGTCTCTGTGTGTGTCTGTGTGTG